AAATTTAGCTGGGCATGGCGGCAGGCGCCTGTAGTCTCAGCTACATTGGGAGGCTGAGGCAGGAGAATGGCGTGAACCTGAGAGACGGAGCTTGCAGTGAGCTGAGATTGTACCACTGCACTCCAGCCTGGGCGACAGAGCGACACTCTGTCTCAAAAAAAAAAAAAAAAAAGAAAATCACTATGACGCAGACAGTGCAGAACAACTGTTGCAGCCAACGTTCACCAATGGACGCCAAAACTGGTGGGTCCAAGTTTAAGGTTCAAAGAGTCTCAAGGTATCTCCCTGAGGCATCTGCTAACTATAAAAAGAAGACAGGGGATTTCTAAGGAAAAATCTGTGGACGCTGCTCCAACCCGGCGCCCTGTCAACATCACCCGTGACCGAAGCTGCACGTGGGGCCAGGCCTGGGCTGTGTCCTGGGAAGGGTGTGTCCAGTGCTGCCCCTGCCAGCAGTGCACGGCCCTCATCCACACGAGGAAAGAACGGGACAAACCGAAGCTGAGGGACCCTGAAAACACTGCTGGCCACACTTCCAAAGTGCAAGTGCACAGACCCCAATCCCATCAGGAAGGCCTGGACACCCTCAGACGGCTTGGCTGCCCAATCACCACGGCTTACCTGCTTTGGTGCCTGCTGGGCATAGACAGGAACTGGGAAGGGTGGCCTGGACACAGTGGCCGGAGGCTGGAGGAGATAGGGCCGAGAGCCTGGGTCAGAGCTGGGACCCCACCCCGTGCCCCTCCAGCACCCCCAGCTCCAGGATCCGAGGTTCCTGCCTCTTGTGTGTGCCGGAGGGGTCTGTGCAGCCCCACCCCAGTCCTCCCCTCAGCGGCATGACCCCCAGCTGCGGGCTGGCGAGCATCTGCCTCTCGACACGGTCCTCAGACGGGCTCTGCTGAGTCCAGGAAGCTTCCCTGGCCTCCGAGCCCCAAGTTTAAGTTCAAGCTCAGATTCTGTCATGGCTCAAAGGGGTCCATGAAGCACCCACTCCCAAAGCCTCAGTGTTGCCAGCAGGATGACCACAGCAGCTGCTCTGGGCCTCGGGGCCACTGCCAGCCCACGTGTGAAGTTAATGAAAGGGCTCTGCTGGCCTCGGGCTGCACTTGGGGTCACAGGATGGGGCCTGGACACTGCTTTCAGCCTCACGAACCCGCCAGGGGTGGTGCTTACAGCAGGGGGCGGCCTCTTCAGAGCCACCGAGGAGGCCAGGTGTCTGGCGGGCTGGCCCGCGTGGGTGGTGGGGACCTGCTCTTGGGGGCTCCTGGTTGGGGCCGGAGCCCCCTGCTTGGCCGGCATGCGGCTGGCAGCCTGGTGAAACAGGGGGTTAGAGAGCCCCGTGGTGGTCTTGGGAGTCGCGTTCCTGGGGAGGAAGCACAGGGCACGTGGTCAGTGTCCGGCCACGGGGCCCCAGCACCACACCTTGTCGGTCCCTCCCAGCTCCAGCCGACCCGAGAGGCTGCAGGGTGAGAGGTCGCAGCCATGAGAGACAGACAGGCCCAGGAGACGCGGCGGACCCTGAAGAGGCAGGGACACCCCTCCATGTCCTGGGGGCCCCAGTCAGGTGGGCGGGAGATGCTTGCAGGCTGTGGGGCCAGTGTGTCCTGCGCCGTGGGGGTCTCCGCTGCGTGGGGCTCAGCAGGGAACTGGTGGGGTGCTCATGGGGCTGGGCCAGGGTGTGGGGGCCCCACCGGGCCTCTCTGGATTTGCTCCAAGCCCAACCTGCCACCAAAACCATCCCCTGCCCTAGCCTCGGGGGATGGCAGAGTCCAGAGCAGCACCGGCCCAGTGGAGCCAGGAAGGCCCTTTAAACTCAGCTCAGGCTGGGGGGCGTCACGACGTCGGGGCATGGAGGAGCCTGGGTGTCCGTGCCGCCCACCATGGGCCCGTGCTGGGTGCCCTTCCTCCAGCAGCAGGGACATTTCCCTGCAGCCGAGCACGGGAAGCACTTACCACCCTCCGTCACGGCCCCCGCCGCCCTCCGCCACTCAGGATGCGGCTCCGGGCTTTGCGGTAGACGATGATGCCTGCCAGGGTGACCACAACTGCCAGGAGCACCAGAACCACCGCCACGATGACAGGGAGGCTCCCGGATGCTGTGGGACACACGGCCCCACCTCAGGCCACAACCTCAGGCAGGGGCCGGGGAGGTTCCCAGAGACACAGCCTTTCTCAGCACCCATAGGCCGTGCCCTGTGGACCCCTCAGGGAGGACCCAGTACCTTACACCGGGACTCCCAGCTCTCCAGTGATG